CTGGCTTGCCTGAGGCTTGGACTGAAAAATAAGATATTATTGATTTTAATTTTTTAAGTCGCTTTCACTGGCAGCAGATGGAACCAACTGGAGCATCTAGGAAGTGCGACTTCAATACATTTCCAAAATATTTGGAGTTGTACATGTATGGTTTATTTTGCAGCATGTACCGGAAAGTTCTCTTTATTGTATTTTTCCGCCGAAATCCAATCAATTGAACATTCGCTACGAATGTCGATGAGAAACACAAGCATATTATATACTGACCCAACTCTGCATGTTTTATTCAATTTTTGATATAAAACAATCATTACCACAAATATAAAAGGCATAAAAAAACTCACCGACACACTCAGGTTCAGACTGTGGACAGGGGGCAGTGACACACGCTGTGGTATACTGGCGACACACTGAGCCATCTGGACAACTTATATCCTGTTAGAATAATACAATATTGATTAAACTGACATCATCAAAAGTCATTTCTTTCTGGACATTTGATTGGTAACGATTATAAATCATGCCTTTGTAAATGTTAAAAGCAAATACCATTAAAATTGATCTTTTTCCTCGTTAATGATGTCAAAAATTGTTAATGAGGATATACTGATTCAACTTTTAAATAATTTAAACACACGTTTATTTCCCCGAGGAAATAGTGTTTATTTCCTCCAGTACAAAAAATAAATGTGTGCTATGCGGAAAATCGGTCGTGACGATCGAGACCGCACACATAGCATCACCGGGATATCCCACAAATATGCGATGGTGTCGTCCACGACATGGTCCAGTGCATGCACTCGGCAATTAACCAATAAACAGATGACCAGGAAGAAGTACCATTGTTGAGCCTACAACAATGTTGTTGTACTGCTATTTTGTTTGTCTCGGGGGCACCTTTATTTGGGACTTGGGTAAGTTTTATTTCATATACAGTATACATAAGGTTTGGGCGCCACGACATTTAAAGAATAAATAAAAAAAGCCTTTCCCTCTGAATGTCATCTTGTAAGTTTTTTTTTTTTTTTTTTTTGACAAGTCTTCCGGTCAAAGTGATGCATTCAAATATGTTGATGAAGGTGAAAGGCGCATTCAGAACAATTTGACCCGCGGACTAACAGATCGCGGATCGAATATGACCGATCCACTTGAAAGCTTGCCGCATAATCCCCTAATGTACACTACAAAGCTTCCCTGTGCGGGTTAATCAGCAAGCTTTCATGTGGGTGGGCCATATTTTGGTTGTGAGTGCGGTCAAAGAGAAGCAGGTTGCATTCTGTCCTATAAATTCACGAGAACATGATATGAGCAGGTAAACACATTACACTGCTTTCATTTGGCAGAAGAAGATGACCGTATCAGCGGAATACAAACGTTATGTGGAAGCTAAAGTAATGTGAAGCAATTTTTGAATAGACATTTTAATATTAACGTCAGTTATTTAATTAAATCTGTATTGCACTAGTGGCATCTGGTTAAGAAAAAATGTGACTTACCTCGCACGTTTTGCTTTGCATCTATAATGGAAAAAAACATAAAAGAGTGATACATTAAGGCTGTAATTTGATAATATCTTCGGCGCTGCCACACGTTGAGATATAAACTAAAAACTACCATAAACTACGTATAGTACTTGTTGCTGGAAACATTGTTCTTGACAATTCCCATTCATTTCGACATGTGGCACCATTCTTTAAATACTTACACTGATTAATTGCTTCAGATTGTAGATCTAAATATGATCTTAATATTTACAACTATCATTTTTCAATTTATATCATTTTTAATCATAATGAGTCAATGTGTTGCTTCATTTTCAAAGTGCAGAGATACCTACCACTGCTGACGAGTTTTGAAAGAGAAGAACAGACAGCACGATGAGAACTTTACTGGAGATCCACACCATCTTGCTGCTTCGGTAGATTTAATGGAACAACCAGAGAAGAGTTTAAAAAACACGTATCCTTTTACAAATAACACAAATGATGATATCACTTGATGGCGATAAAAGCTGAATTGAGCTGTAATCCATCCACCGGTGACTTAAATACATCAGCGGTCGAGGAAATAGCCCTCATCTCGTGACGTAGGTGAATCTAAGAACTGACCCGCGTGGCGTTACTTAATCTTGATAAAGACACGTTTGTCAAACGATACATTTATGAAGGGAATCAAGGGGTCACAGACAATTCGTGACTAAGGCTGACCGGTCCTTCGTTAAACAGGGCGGTAGCGATGTCGCCGAAAGTTTTGCTTCCGGGCGCTTCTAACCCTGCTTCTAAAAATAAATCGAAATTCCTTATCGCAATGAAGAACGTGCTGTTATCATATGTGGACTAACCAATGGTCATTTAAATTAAAATTTTAACGCTGAATTTATCTCCATGGGGTGACTGATTTTGTAGTCATCGTACTGGGTGTTTTTTTTATTTAACTAATGTCATAATAAGATGTGATAATATGCTATGGTCTATAATTGTTGGTTAAGGTTGCTGTAACAAGTTCCGAATAAGATGTTCCAAAAGTGCGGACCTCCACAAAAGCAGATAGCAACCGTCTGATATACATAAGGTCATCCGGATTCAGATGAAATTGTGACCCTTTTTTTCATTTCTGAATAATTGTCTATCATAAAAATTTTCATCAGAATTTGTGAGGAATATTTTGCAATGTCTAAATATGTCTAAACAACTAATAAGCTCACGCCGATGGAAACATGACTGAGCATACGGGCTCATTTTAAGAGTCTATATTATTTTAGAAGAGTATAAAATGAAAATGAAAAATCAACTAGAATAAATGAAAGAATATGTAAATTCTCGCCGGAATTATTGAGAAATGAGGAAAGGAACAAATGTTAAGCCCTGTATTTTGCCAAACTGGGGTGGTCTTCAACCAACCGTTAGTTTTGGTTGTCGAAATAATCACAGAAAGAGAAAGTTTACGCAGTTATACTGAAAAACGAGGCCAGGTAATATAGAAGACGAAGGATTGCATACTGTCCTGTCGTAATATATATTTTGTCTTCGGATGCCTTCTTTGTTACTAATCTCACTTTTATTTTCATTAAAACCCATCGTCTTTCTCTTCGATACATAATTTTAAATTTTATATTCCTTTATGTCACATTAAAAAACTTTTGAGATATAAACTAAAAACTACCATAAACTACGTATAGTACTTGTTGCTGGAAACATTGTTCTTGACAATTCCCATTCATTTCGACATGTGGCACCATTCTTTAAATACTTACACTGATTAATTGCTTCAGATTGTAGATCTAAATATGATCTTAATATTTACAACTATCATTTTTCAATTTATATCATTTTTAATCATAATGAGTCAATGTGTTGCTTCATTTTCAAAGTGCAGAGATACCTACCACTGCTGACGAGTTTTGAAAGAGAAGAACAGACAGCACGATGAGAACTTTACTGGAGATCCACACCATCTTGCTGCTTCGGTAGATTTAATGGAACAACCAGAGAAGAGTTTAAAAAACACGTATCCTTTTACAAATAACACAAATGATGATATCACTTGATGGCGATAAAAGCTGAATTGAGCTGTTATCCATCCACCGGTGACTTAAATACATCAGCGGTCGAGGAAATAGCCCTCATCTCGTGACGTAGGTGAATCTAAGAACTGACCCGCGTGGCGTTACTTAATCTTGATAAAGACACGTTTGTCAAACGATACATTTATGAAGGGAATCAAGGGGTCACAGACAATCCGTGACTAAGGCTGACCGGTCCTTTATTAAACAGGGCGGTAGCGATGGCGCCGAAGGTTTTACTTCCGGGCGCTTCTAACCCTGCTTCTAAAAATAAATCGAAATTCCTTATCGCAATGAAGAACGTGCTGTTATCATATGTGGACTAACCAATGGTCATTTATATTAAAATTTTAACGCTGAATTTATCTCCATGGGGTGACTGATTTTGTAGTCATTGCACTGGGTGTTTTCTTAATTTAAGTAATGTCATAGTAAGATGTGATAATATGCTATGATTTATAACTGTTGGATAAGGTTGCTGTAACAAGCTCAGAATAAGATGCTCTAAAAAGTGCGGACCTCCACAAAGGCAGAAAACAACCGTCTGGTATACATATAAGGTCACCCGGATTCAGGTGAAATTGTGACCCTTTTTTTCTTTTCTGAATAACTGTCTATCATAAAAAAATTCATCTAAATTTGTAAGGAATATTTTGCAATGTCTAAATATGTCTAAACAACTAATAAGCTAACGCCGATGAAAACATGACTGAGCATACGGGCTCATTTTCAGAGTCTATATTATTAGTGAAGAGTACATGTATGAAATAAAAATGAAAAATCAACCAGAATAAATGGAAGAATATGTAAATCCTCACAGGAATTATTGAGAAATGAGGAAAGGAACAAATGTTAAGCCCTGTATTTTGTCAAACTGGGGTGGTCTTAAACTAACCGTTAGTTTTGGTTGTCGAAATAATCACAGAAAGAGAAAGGTTACGCAGTTATACTGAAAACGAGACCAGGTAATATAGAAGATGAATTGCATACTGTCCTGTCGTAATATATATTTTTGTCTTCAGACGCCTTCTTTGTTACTAATCTCACTTTTATTTTCATTAAAGTCCGTCGTTTTTCTCTTCGATACATAATTTTAAGTTTCTTATTTTTTTATGTAATTTAATTTAACTCATGAAAAATTCCAGTTCAGTGGTTTTTATCAAAATACCTGCTTGTCTCCTGTCATAATATTGGACATCATCGTTTTGTTAAATGGAAACAATATTTTCAGATTAAACACCGAGTTTGGTTTTATCTGATCGATCCAAAAACCGAAACTTTGGTGGAATTTTGATCATGCATGGGACATAGATTGTTCGTGGTGGCCTCTTCTGTCTGTAAGCCGCTATAAGAGTACGCGCACAAGTTACAAGGAACAGCATTATGTCAGTTTAGTCGATGATAAATGGTGCACGTATTTTAGTTCTCAGCTTGCATGAAGTGTCCTCGATACTGAGTACGGAATATTTTCTTGTTAAAATATTCAATGTGAATATTTTACACAATGCCATTATCATTACATGCACAGGAGAGCAACCGCCGCCCACCCCACCCCACATCCCTCGCCGTGAATCCACCTCTTCTTAGGTACTGACAGGATGAGAAATAGATATAGTTGGGAGTTGATCAGATGTTAACTTATAGCTATGTTTATATCGTATTGATTATCATATATCATAGAATTTTTTTTTCATTTTTGAAAATATGACGCTTAACAAGCATACTGTTAACGGCAGAGTTTTTAGTGTTGACAAATTTACAGCATAAAAACTTACTTAATTCCATGTCCTTTTCACTTTTATTTACCAGTAAAATTTTTCTTCATCACTACATTGTATTGATGCATGACGGTACACTAATGTATTCGTTGAACTTTGTGTCCTGTTGTATTTTACTTTCTGAAGAAATACTTTTTACATGACAACTATATTGCGTATCATGAAAAAAATAAGACAAACTTCGCGATTTGAAACACCTCTGTACTGTATATATTTTGTGTCAACTTAACAGTAGGCCCTATAGGCCGCTACATTATAATAGAAAGCGACTAGAATGGTATCTAATAAGTTACTTTAAGGCATTATAGTCTCGTAAACGGAACTCACGCACGTACATTACTACACATAATAGCCTACTTTTAAGTGAAAAAACAAACTCCGGCAAAACTGCCTTTCTGCACATGCTATCAAAACCCATGGATGACTGAAGGACTAAACGTGTGACGTCACATCACGATTAACGTCAGATGGCGCCAAGAGTCACTCGGGGTAAATCACCTGACACAAGAACGACTGCTTCTGCGTACACCGGATATCGTTCCACTTTCCTGTTGCGGGTACAAATTCCGCACAGTCTTCCATGGACCCGGAGTTGTTTGGCTCGTTTGGGCCCCAGTTGGTGTACGTCATGCTCTGACCGTTCTGCCATTTCCACTGGCCCTCGGCTGCGATGTCGTGACCTCCAAGATAGGCCATTGGCCGGCTACCTACGATAACAATATACATATATAATGCTGACAGGCACTTTTCTACCTCACTTTGTCTTTATAATCATAACACATGAAGAAGAAGACCTTTGCCAAAATATGAAATGGTCGGTAAAATAAAACCTGAATACCTGAATAATGCTGGACTTCTTGAGAAGTACTTCTTGAAACTTCTTGGATCTTCTTGCACGGTTGTGATTGGAACCGTAATATGCAATTTTCTTATTAAATTCTTAAATCATGTTTGATTATCTCTTAAATATATGATAAAGAAGACTTACACTTAGCTTGGAAGGTGTTGAGAAATAATGTCTTACCAGAAACTCGGTTCTTTAGCAAAGCTTCAATGAAACTATTTTCTTTGGCGGACGTCACCATGGCCAGGTGACCGTTTGGATGTAGTTCCTGACAGTATCTCTCCGCTTCATTCCAGGTTTTAGCTTCATTGACAAGACGGTACCAAGAGTTAGAGAAACCGGTGTTGACAAAACTAGCTACAAATTAAATAATAGAAATAAAAAATAATGTTGTTGGTCTAATACTTGTAAGATTTTTCTCCATTATCTAGAAAAAGAAAGGATTGAAAATATGTGAATATAACTTTTTCCCAAAGAGCGTCTTAATTTACTGTAAATGTAAAAAAATATTTATGTGCCAAACCAAGGGGCATTATTTTCACGATCGTCTGGAATATAGATATATAATATTAAACACTGTTAATAGGGTACATGAAATTAAGGAAAATGAGAAAAGTTTCCTACTTTTCACAAACTATGCTAAAATAAAACACTTCGTTGTTGTTCTAAGGAAACGCGGCATCATATTGTGTTAGAGAAGTCATCGCAGTGGTTCGGCAGATGTGACCCGTAAGCCCTATCACATATTATCGCATTTACGTTCCATTGGGTTGGAATGGGGGCACCGTATAGCCCAGGAGTAGTGTGTCCTACCTCGTGACGGCAAATTGCGCATGTCACTTTGCAGCTTTCTGACAATGGCAGACAGGTCAGCCCGCTCTGAGTCATCGCCCAGTATCGCCCTCTGGCGAGAAACATTCTGAAGCTGCTCCACCTTGCTCGAGATATCTGACAATGTCTCGTTCTGTATTCGCAGCAAAGTTGAAACCTTGTAAATATCAGTTCCATGTTAGTTGCAATGGCAACAGTTTTGCTGAAAAAATGCCCGGTGCCATGCAGTTTTCCTTGGAGTGGGGTTAAGTATTTTTTAAAACTGCGGAGTTACATTACACATGTATAGGTAAATATACTTTCTTCAAATGTTTAATCAAAGTACATGTACACGGGCATCACCTAAGAAATTATATATACCCGCAAGAAAACGCAGTAGATACTCCAGCGCAGTAGACTACTGCAATCATACTGAAAACATGCCTCAAATCTGCTTCGAATATGGAGCTAATTAGCCTATTTGAAACATGCTTCGATTACGCTGCTAATCTACTGCATTAATGCTCCTCTCTGAGTAGAATTGCAGTAGCTATACTGCATTTCTACTGCAAATATGGTCCACACCACTACTGCGTTAATGCTTCTTTGCTGCTTCGATACTACTGCATTTTCGTGCGGGTAGCACCCGCACGAAAACGCAGTAGATACTCCAGCGCAGTAGATACTGCAATCATGCTGCAAACATGCTTCAAATCTGCTTCGATTTGGGAACTAATTAGCATATTTGAAACATGCTTCTATCATGCTGCTAATCTACTGCATTAATGCTCCTCTCTGTACAAACCTATGTACTTTTTGGAGTAGAATTGCAGTAGGCTATGCTGCATTTCTACTGCAAATATGCTCCACACCACTACTGCGTTAATGCTTCTTTGCTACTTCGATACTACTGCATTTTCGTGCGGGCAATTACAAACAAACAAAAAAAAAAAAACATTATTAACAAGGGAGCTTGTTTCACATACCTCTGTCAAATTTTGCTGCAAAGTGTCCAGCCTGACTTCATTCGTGTCCTGGCGAGAGCCTAAATTCGTGGTCGCCACACCCGTTGTCTCCTTGACGGCCGATAAGGCCTGTCCGAGTTGGGCGATGTTTTTTCCATGATCTGCAGCGCTACCTTGAAGCTGTATCAGAGCACCTTGCAGCTGGATTAGCTGCTGTGAGAAACCCTGTACTGTCATGGGTTGGTTGTAAGGAAGCTGGGATAACGAGGTCTTTATAGCAAGGATGTAGACACATACATGTGCCGCGAAGGAAACAACCGAGTGCATTCTGAATTTTGAAAAACCGATGAAGTAAAATTTCTTGAATCAAAAGTTCTTGTTCCCTGCTACAGTACTGGATTTGCCTATGAAAGTAGAGACGATTTTTTTTCATATGGAATGCTACGTCTAAATTGGTCATGTCCTGTTTTGCAATTAATTCTGTTACCGAATACCTCGTTGTTTAAGTGTGTCGGCGGATGAATGATGTTTTCGAGATAAAGCGTCCTTGCCGATCCCTCTTCACCACACTTAATTTTTTTTTATTTTAGCCAAAATCTTGTTTATCATGAGTAAAGTTTTTTTTAGTATTTTATTTGACTTACAATTATAATAGTTTTGGAATGACTCTGTGACTTATGTGCACAATGTTATCCTGTTTCTTTTCTGTGCTTCACACTGCATTGCAAGTGAGTCTAATCAGAAAGAAGTAGTATAATAAACCATAAGGTCTGGCCAGGAAAATGAGTATATGATAAAGTGATGATGAAATGAGTGACCCCTACGTAGACCTACAAGTACTGCGCTGCTGTAAAAGAGACGACAGGTTGTAAGCAATTGCACTGTAAGCATTCAGTTAGAATTAGACAAATACTATACTGGCTAAATCCTGCATCTAAGTTCACACGTTAATGACAGAAAAGGGGATGTATTTGTATAGTAGCAGCGGCGGATTTAGTGTGTGTGTGTGTGTGTGTGTTGGTGGGGTCCTAACCCCCTTCGATTGCCGAAAAAAATCACACCAATGTTCCTCTCTTGAAGTTAGAATTTTGTCTAGCTGTAACTGTAGTTCTGTGCTTACATCATTTTGAGAATAATTGTTACACTGAACTATAGCAAATTATTGTTTCATTTTAACTCCGTCTTTCACCTTTGAACAATAATATCTTTAAGGATTTTATTCGCTTGGGTTCTTTTTGATAATCAGTTATAAATTTGGTGAAAAAAGGAGGGCAGGAACAGAAACTGCCACGCTCAACACAGAAAACTCAGAACGTCGTATAGCTCAACACAGAAAACTCAGAAAGTCGTATAGCTCAACACAGAAAACTCAGAACGTCGTATAGCTCAACACAGAAAACTCAGAACGTCGTATAGCGTTACAGGTACATAAATGCATGTAAGAATATTATTTAGAACTCCCCACCCCACCCCCCAAAAAGACTTAAACCATTGCTGTACACACTTTAACATTTGTACATGTATATTTAACATTTACATAAAAAAAAGAGATTACATATTACCAAGACGCAATGTTTCTATTACTTTAAAAATGAGTTATACGTTTTGTCGATGTGGGATATTTGTATTTTTTAACTCTTAAGAAACTATTGTTGCAGCGTTTTAAAAATATTTCAGTCTGATCAAATACCTATAGCAGTAATTAACATAGATTTAGCAACAACGAAAATGTTCATTATTTTTAATATTATTGCCACTTAAACTAGCTGTTACACACATGACACCCCCTTTATACATTTAAAGACATTTTTGAATAAGTTTGTTTGACATAAGTAGTTTCGGTGCATGTTTTTATAAGGTATATAATCGGAAATCGACAATATGAACTCCATATTACTGCTGCATCTTCAGTGTTTTCAATTAAAGCATGCATGTATATTCAAAACAGTTCAGAGGCATGCAATCCAGGACACCTTTACATAATACAGATGAGTGTCAGCCCAGCTTTTGATACTCACATTAAAGCCTTGAGAGGTGACGCCTGAATGGTATGTTGTCAGTCTACTATTTGCACCATTCCTGAAAGCAATAAGAAAGAAATTTACAAAAAATGACAATTGTCATTTACATGTAAGAATATTCTTTACTACATGTATTTGCAGCCAAAGCGCAATTCCATCTTTTGGTCTTTTCAGGCATGCAGCTTATGAAACTGTTCAGCTAGCTTGAATGTTGTGCCGCGCGTTTTGGTTACAATGTAATAATTGACCGAGTTGACACGTGGCAGACTGAGTCTTGTCGAAAATTCTAAGATGGCGTCCATAACAAATAATGTTGCTTTAGTGTAATTAATGAAAAGGGGAAATTTAAATCACTGTGGTTAGAATTGGCCAAAGGTTTTTCCTGTCACAATAAATGCAAGCAATTTTGAGATTAAACAATGCTGGTTAGAGAGATTTGGGATCAAGGTCTATCACTGGACAAAATAGGACGAAAACCTATTTCCGTGGTGTGGTCACCGCTATTTCATTCTTACAGACCTTTGTCTTTTATATTGCTGTCTTTTTAAGTTTAAATTGGAAATTATTTTGTTTAGATTTTAAGCCCGACTATATATACTTTCACCTATAAAGTATTAAAATATTAAAGTATTAAAATATTTTTCAACATAGCATTTTTGACATTTGAAAAATATGGTTCTCTCTTCTCTTTCAAAGGAATGACGCATTCCCCGTTAAAAATCACAGAAAATAAATTATATAGATCCCTGGAAGCAAGTCTTTTTTGTGAGAAATATTCTAAACAAAACCAAAAAATCTCGTCACAGTAAAAGGATCAATGTCGTGTCTTACCAAATATCAAAGGTCGATATTGCCACCATAACGTTCGGAGGCATGTCGAACGGGTGATCGAACCGCACATGCTTTACTTGGCTCTGACACTTTTGGCTACCGTTACAGACGTCGCTGGGCACTATTCCTGATTCACCTATAAGATGAAAACACACACATATATGTGTGTCCGCCAAATTTTAAACATTTTGGGTCAGCATGAACAGATCTCTGCAAAGAGTTATTGTTATATCGAAATGAAATTACGTTCTGGCTGTGAAGTTTGTTTTATCTTTCTGATATACCCTTGACAAATGGAAACTGGTTGAATGCAACGTTTTTAAAGAAAGGTACTCTTAGGATTGAAACCAAGAGATATGACTTCAGGTGTGCAATACTGTCACATTACTAAGTACAGTGTTGGTTAAAAAAAACAGTTTTATCTTACAGAAAACAGGTGGGATTAAAAACAGGTGAAAACGACACCGACTTCTAACATATTTCAAAATTGTACTTACACCTGGCATCAATAAAACCTGGAAGTAGCAGAACAACCAAAAAGCAACCAAAGAAAACTCTGGAGGTCATCTTCTTGTTCTCAGTCTGACCAGGCGAGTGACTGTGACTGAGCGAACGGTGGGGCCCATGCCCTTTTATAGTTGCACAATCTGTTGCTCACACATGTCCTGGCAGTTTGTCGAGTTTCGTGCAGTTTCAGTCATGCGGGGAGGCCCAATCAAGTTCCAACGAATAACACCGAGTTTTGTTTGGCCTTCGTCTCGTCCTCTTCTTCCACGACTGTAGAGCCTTATTTTGCAATGCCCTGGCAGATATTGCATGACAGGCAGGTTCAGACAGGCGAGGAGGCAATTCCAATGAACAACACGCAGTTTTGATTAACATATCTCGTCCTTTACTGAACAAAAGTCACATGTTGTGTCACTTTATGTGTACTGTAAGAAGTGCATGTATATCCTCCTATGAAAAAACTTACTAGTACACATAAACGGGTAGATTTCTTGAACATGTTTATTAATATGTTTTGTGCACGGAGGACGAAAAAGGTCTTATTTGCCTAAAATACTGACCTATGTGACGGACTGTTTGTATCTTGTCATTAGTACATATTTTGTTTCACACACATCATTGTATCAAAAGCAAGAAATGTACTTCTTGTACATGTATTTGGTACTCCAATCCAAATATGAATATTCTCTTGTGTTTACCATCGGTAATTGTTAAATACATGTAAATTACAGAAAATTGAATGAAAATTGAGGGAAACGATTTCATCGCATTAGGTTTCATTTTTCATAATACCCCGATAAGGATATTATTAACGTTATCTAGTTTAACTTATATTTTTCTTTATAAGCATGGCGAATTTGAATTAAATATGTCTTTTGTATTTGAGGTAACAAAAATGGGGTCAGCAACGAGCTTTTTTCTAGATTTTTTGTTACTTGTTAGTTATTTTTCAGAATGCTTCAGGCTTGGATTAAGTATGATAAACATTCATGGATAAAGCGACTACTCCAAAAAGGTGAATAATACTACTCGTTTACACTCGTTTACATTGATACGGGTTCATAAGAGGGGGAGCAGTGGGAAATTTGGGGTCGATAGGAACAATTCCAGTAGAATTTTCTATGAATTATGAGAAAAACGAAGAGGTAAAATTTCTTAAATCAAAAGTTCTTGACTCGTGCTACAGTGGATTTGTCTGTGAGAATAAAGACAGTTTTTTCTTTTTTTTATCATATTGAATGCTATGTCGAAATAGGCCATGTCCTGTTCCGCATTAAATTCTGTTAACCAATACCACAGTGGATGCATGGTGTTTTGAGTTTAAGCGTCCTTGACAATCCCTTTTCACCACACATTGTTTTTTAAACAAAAACCCTGTTTTTTCAAGCATAGAGTTTTTTTAAATCTATTAATTAACTTAGACGTATGATACTGATAGTTGTGATATTATGATTGTCTGTACAATACTCGGTTTGGAAAGACTGGGTGACTAATGTACGCAGTGTAATCCTTTCCCTATCATTTACTGTGAGTCTAAGAGGACATTCGAAGCAAGTTAATGTTTAGTGTTATTTTGGTAGCACGAATGTATGATTGTTTTTATTTTAATTCTGTTATGCTTGGGATTTTTTCCGTGGTACTTTATATCCTTACACCATTGATTAAGCAGTATACCGGTAAGTACATTTGCAATCTGCACAAGCAGACGCACACTCACAAAGGCAAGACACCCGTGATGAAGAATTGGTTTTCACCCCTGTGAAAGCCGCTGCATTGACAACCCCCTTCTCACCCCCCCCTCACCCCCACTAGGCAGCTGATGAAGGTCACGTGTTGACCGAGAAGCGCTTTCTGCAACCAGTCCACCCCCTCCCCCACCAGGCTGTACGTCTCCCGTACAACCGTCTTTTAGTCAAACTCAAACAGAGGTGAGACGCTCTCTCTACACCACGCTGAGGTGAGACGCCACACAACACGCAAGCCAAAAGTAGTACACGGTACACGGCTAAGAACACTTATTTTATCAGAGAAAATAAAAAAAAAACTGATACAGCAAATCCTTCCGTCACACAGACGTGAAATAAACTACCTCTTATCAGAATAACACATTAGGCTAGGTCTAAACATTAAAAGCATTTTATTGCTTCATTTAGGTAAAATGGAACCCACATGAGTGGACATGCGTTTATCATAATGTAAATGACGAAGATGTACCACGTATTCATTGTATAATGTATGTTAAAGTAATTACTGTTTGCACGCCCCGTCCACGTATACCCACATTGTGCGTATAATCAAATTGTCACCAGTACTCATTTATTAGTTGGTAAGATTTGTGAATTGAAGTAGGTGAGCTTGCACAGCAGTCACAATACATGGGTGCGCTTTTTCTCAGCCTGCAGAAATGTTTTCTTTCGTTTTAACATATTGTGTGTGTGTGTAAGAGCAACTGTGCCCCGTGTCCTGCACAATTGGAACCTTAATCCCTCACCTGTTTGTAAAGGCTCGGCTGCTCTGCCCTCTCTTATACATATTGTTGAACATATTTTTGTTTATTGTGATGTATGCAGAATGAAGTACTCTGTGACAATGCATTTCTACCACATGAATATTTTTTCAAAGTGTGTAAAACATAAATAGCAACAGAAATATGTCTTAATGTAGAAGCAAACGTGTCAGCTATGAAACCCATGACAGTTTATACAGAAGAGAGCGGTCTTATACAAAATAGTCAAGGGAAATTTTAATGTACATTGATCAACTTCATTATTTTTTAAATTGAAGCTACTAGCCTTATTTAATAGAATATCAGAAATGTCCGTCCGTTGGAAACGGAGTAGATGGTCTGTAATAGAGGAAAAAACATTATTTTTGCCAGAAAAGGTCAGCTGTCAAGCTGCTTTTTTCTTTAGAATAATCATTTGGTATTTAATTCGAAATATAATAAATCTGTTTAATTCTTCTTTATTTCATAATACCAATAGCATAAACCCAGCAAATCCACAGATATTGAAAACTCCNTACATGTACATGTACGCCAGGAGCATTGTGGTAGTGTAAAGATGTTTCAATTACTGGATTCGTTTGGAGGTCAGTGATATCGTGGGAGTATAAAGACAATGAAAATTAAAATTCGAAACAGTAGAGAATCGTAAATCAGCCCAATGAAATAAGATTAAAATGGATTTTGTTATTACTATTGTTTTCATGGGTTTGACATTTTTAAATAGCGCCACGAGGGAAGGTAAATGACATATTTTGCACGATTGACCAAAAAGAAGTATGACTATTGCTACTACTAGAACTAATTACTACCAACAAAGGTAATACAGGGTGGTTAAAATATGAGGAGTTAGATTAAACCAAAACTGCAGCGTAATATAATGCTGCTTGTACGGGGATGCACAGAATGGTGAGTTGTTGTAATAGGAACAAAAGAAGAATATTATGATTATCTGTCGGTTCCTTTGTTTACCTTCTTTTTACCTCTGCCTGGATTGTGAAGGTATCTGCATGTACATAGTACGTGGAAATTTACCGTATCTCAGTCCAAGACCCCGTTCCTATAGCTAGATCGATCTAGCGCGATCGACTCATCTCCGAGGGGGTTTCTCGCTTATTTGCATTAAGCTTAAAGGGCTCTGATGTCTTGTACGACAACTGAAGCCGTAAGGGGATAATTAACTATCATTTAACAGCTTCAGTAGGCGTGCCAGGCATCTAAGATCCCATTCCCACAGAATTTAGGTCGATCTATCCCTGTGGGGAGTCTCACTAGATTACTGTAAGTTTAGCCGGCTTAAATGTCTGTCCCGCCTTCTAAAAGCTGTAAAGGGGAAATTAACTACCGTGCGCGCTCGCCTGACAGCAATTTAGCGTGAACCCCCAGGGAGTTAGGTCGATCTAGATGGATCATTCTAAATCCATGGGAATGTCCTCTAAGCCGCAGAAAAAAGAGCGATCGAGGAACAAAAAATATTTGAAATTTCCTGTTGAATCCACATTTCTGATTCAGGCCTACCCAACTACCAGACTCGGCACCTAAGGATCCTGAATTAACCGGTATATCGGACCACACTACCCGTTTTCAAGGTGTGTGTCAGATCGCATTTCGGAGTATCAGTCAGAACACCGACAGGATGAACTCACGCTCGGTTGTCACCTTGATTGGATAGTAAACGATTGTCGTAAAAGCGCTATATGATTTTAAAACCGGGTGCATAAATTTGAAAACCACCTAGAACAACCTTAGACTGCCACATTAATCTAATACAATGCAAAAAAGCCCTATCAAAAGGTGTTAAACATTCAAACCGAATGTCGTAAAGTGCCCATATACCCCCATAGAGACAATAAAGTAGAGTACTCTAAAGTAAGAGTACAGTCTAAGGTTGTTCTAGGTGGTTTTCAAATTTATGCACCCGGTTATAAAATCATATAGCGATTTTACGACAGTCGTTTACTATCCAATCAAGATGACAGCCAAGCGGTGCGATATACCTGTTAATTCAGGATCCTTAGGTGCCGAGTCTGGTAGTTGGGTAGGCCTGTGATTGACCCCCACCCCTTAATTAAGCTGTATCTACCTGTGTAAACTGGATGTATTATTAACCTATTTGGAGTAGTCGTTTTATCCCTGTATCTCCATCACGATTAATCCAAGCCTCAAGCAAACGTAACTGACAAGTTTTTGTGTAGGAGAGGGGGCGATAGAAGTAATTCCTTGGCTGCGTAAACAGAAATATAAGTAAAAACGAGATCAGGATAAACTGTCTATACCAGGTTTTATGAAAGCTAAAACTTAATATGATGTTTAGAAGCAAAGAATGGGAACCAAAAACATCGTATCCAAGCTGGCAGTTACCACGTTGAAAAAGTGAGAACATGTATTTCAAGTTCACAGCAAAACTGGCATTACCGCTTCCTTACATACAACACAGATAAAGCTTCAATAAATCGAAAAAGGTAGATTTTAGGGACTTTCAAAGAAACGGACAGGGCCAAAAGAAACCTGAATTAGTTCATTATCGAGACTTCATAATGTCTGCTTAATTCCTTGAATTGTGACTTCATTGTAATGCTAACACTTGATGATCGAGTGTCAAATAGCAACTGTGCCCACGCTGGAGACAAGCACTGGGAATCAAGACGACGAGCTTGAACTTTCAGGAAATCAAAAAGTCTATCATTACAGTGCAAACACTTGGATCATAACGTCGAAGTAAAAAAAAAAAAAAAATTGTCGATTTATGTAAGAAATGAAATTTTATATATCCTTATCTTCAAAGACGATTCAAAGAATCGTGATTTGTGTTGAGTTCTGTAGCTTGCTATCAAGATATTAAGGACTAGGAGGACACAGGTTGATAGAAAGAGGGGGAGACACTTCTTCATATCAAAATAACAGGTGTAGAAACTGTATCTTATAGTGTCACCTGCCTCCAGATTTGATCCCCAAATGATGCACTAACCTGAGCAGTTATGTACTTGTCTGTAGAATGTAAATGTTCCCTACTTTCGTTAAAAGGAGAAGCAAGAGCGATCTGAGGCACAGAAAAATACTGGGCATTGTTCCTAATGAATTCAAATTTACGATTGCTCCCCTTCTTATGAACCTGTATCTATCAGTGTATACTAGAAACATTATTCACGTTTTTGGAGTAGTCTCTTTAGTCATGCATGTCCATCATGCTTAATCCAGACCTCAAGCAATATGAAAAGTAACTGATAAGTTTTTGTTGGAGAGGGGGTAATAAAGGCCCAACAATAATAAAAAACTCAAAAAGTATTACTGACAATGTTTGTTTTATGGCATCAATTAAAATGTACACATTTATTTTTCACTTCAGTAAATCAAAAAGTTTATCATTACAGCGTAAACACTTGGATAATAATGTCGAAGTAAAAAAAAGATGATTTTGTCGATCCCTGCAAGAAATGAAACTTTATACAACCTTATCTACACAGGCAATTAAAAAACCGTGATTTTTGTTAAGTTCTTGCTATCAAGATGTTAAGGACTAGGAAGGCACAGGTAGGAGGGGAGAGGGGGAGACACTTTTTTCATATCAAAATGACAGGTGTAGCAACTGTACCTTGGTGTCACCTGCCTCCACATTTTGATCCCCAAATGATGCACTAACCTGAGCAGTTGTTTCTATAATGTAAGAGTTCCCTCCTTTCCTTAAAAGGAGAAACAAGGGCGATCTAAGACACGGAAAAACACTGGACATTGTTCCTACTGAATTCAAATTTCTGATTGCTCGCCTTCTTATGAACCTGTATCTGTCAGTGTATACTAGAAATATTGTTCACCTTTTTGGAGTAGTCGTTTATCAATGCATGTCCACCATGCTTTATCCAGACCTCAAGTAATATGAAAAAGTAACTAAAAAGTTTTTGTTGGAGAGGGGGCAATAAAGGAAAAAAAACCAACTCGAACAAGTTCATTACTGACAATGTTTGTTTTGTGGCATGAATTCAAATGTACACAAATCACGATTCTTTGAGTCGTCTGTGTATAAGGTCATATAAAGTCATTTCTTGCATGCATCGACACAATTATCCTTTTTACTTCGACATTATGATCCAAGTGTTTGCACTGTAATGAAGAACTTTTTTATTTACTGAAAGATTCAGCTCCTCATCTTGATTCCCCTTGCTTGTCTACACCGAGACTACACCGAATGTCAGCATTACAATGATGTCAAAATTCAAAGAATTAAACAGACGTTGGGATATGGAAGAAGGGCTATGAAATGGCCATTGCTTAATAAAGTGGCCTATTACATTTTTCTTTTCCTTTGAGTAGTGCATGTACCTGTCGCCTATATAACCTTTTTGTAGTAGATAAATATTGTATCAAAAGCTAGTGGATTTTACTCGTACAAATATTAAAATAAAGAACTACTCAAAGATAAAGTTTAACTTTACAGTGCAAACACTTGGATCATAACGTCGAAGTAATTTGTCGATACTTGCAAGAAATGAAACTTTATATAACCTTATCTACACAGACATTAGTAAAACGAGGTCTTTACAAGGGCATTATGAAAGCTGAAACTTAATATGATGTCGTTTATGATGCGAATTAAAAGTATCGTGATGTACTCTTGGATTCTAAGATCTCAACGTTAAGAATATATAGGCGTATGCAGGTAGGATTTGTGAGGTAGGGTCATTTTCAAATCAAAATGGCGAGTTTAACCATTGTCCCTTACTTGGTGTTGGCAGCACCTGAACCTCCTTCATCTAATACATCCCCCTGTGGTTATGGATTATTTTTTGCACAGGTAAACAATAAGGGGTGATAAGAGTGTATTTATATTTTGATTGGAGCTCCAAATCCAACCGGTGCAAGACCAACCGGTGCAACGATTTCTCTCTTGCTTTTGGTACAATGCAATATCTACTACAAAATATTGTATTAACGACAGGAACATGTCACGTGCAACTGGAACAAAGACAAACGACCAGGGAGGCAACAGGCCACATTTTAATGCAATAGTTATTTCCTAGCCCTCCTTGCATATCCCAAGGTACTATTAAGTCCAAAGGGAATCCCCCTTTACGTGCTTAGCATTGTACACAAGCAATTTAAGCATTATAACCAAGTTACTTCGGGTAATTAATAGCAAAAAAGATACAGTATTTCAGGGTCACATATGATTTATTGATTGAATAATGACTTTCAGTATAATTCACTTTGGATCAATCCTTATGTAGGCTTTGTATTTGAAAGAAAACTTTCTAGAGTATAATATATATGTGCATGTATTTTTGGTACATTGTACCTTGAGAAATATAATGATTAACCTGTGTTTATAAGGCAAGAATGGGACCCAAACACACCATGTCCAAGGTTGCAAACACCAGGTTGGAAACTAAGTAAATGAAGATCACAACGGCTTTATCGTTCTGTTAAAGATAGTAACAGATAAAGTTTCAACTTCAATAAATCAAAAAAAGTACATAATGTAGACTTCCAAAGAAGCGGAGACAGCCAAAAGAAACCAGAATTAGTTCATTATTGACAATTCATAACGCCTGTGTAATTATTTGAATTGTGACTTCATTATATTGCTAACACTTGATGATCGAGTATCAAATGGAGAAAAGCACTGACAATCAAGACGACGGGCTTGAACTTCTATACAAGAAATATAATTTTATATATCCTTATCTACAAAGACGATTCAAAGCCTCGTGATTTGAGTTTAGTTCTTGCAATGAAAATGTGAAGGACTAGGAGGGTACAGGTAGGACTAGGACGGCACAGGTAGGAGGGGTAGGGGGACACGCTTTTCCATATCAAAATGAAAGGTGCAGCAACACCTGCCTCCACTTTTTGTCTCTAAAGGAAAAAAAAGCGCCCTATCTGTAGATACAGGTGAATAGGAAAGGGGTGAAATCAGAAATTTGAATTTTGACTTTATTCTAATGCTAACACTTGATGATCGAGTATCAAATAGCCACGGTGCCCACGCTGGAGACAAGCACTGGGAATTAATACGACGAACTTGAACTTTCAGTAAATCAAAAAGTTTATCGTTACAATGTAAACACTTGGATCATGACGTCGAAGTAAAAAAATAAAATAAAAATGTCGATTCATGCAAGAAATGAAACTTTATACAACCTTATCTACACAGACAATTCAAAGAACCGTGATTTGTGTTCAGTTCTTGCTATCAAGATGATAAGGACTAGGAGGGCACAGGTAAAGGGGGAGACGCTTTTTCATATCAAAATGACAGGTGTTGCAATATCCTTTGGACCCACCTGTGATGATTTTTTTCCAAAAATGATTTTTAAAAGTCTCAATTTTCTACAAAAGAGGAAATATTTTTCTTCAATCGACAGCTGAATATTGAAATAGTTTCCCTCAATTTTCAATTTTTATTCAATTTTCCATAATATTGAACAATTGCAGAGGGTTAACAGAAGACAATATTTATGTTTTGATCGGAGCACCAAATATGAGACGTACTTGTCTTATTTTTGATACAATAATATTTCTAAAAATATGTATTAACAGTAAAAGTTAAAAAGTCCGGCAAAAGGGCAGTATTTTAGGCAAATAAGACCTTTTCATCGTCCTCCATGCATATAGTATATTACTCAACATGTTTAAGAAACCTTCCCTTTCACAAATTACTTTTATTTCAGTATTTTCTACGGTTATTACCCCATTGCGCCTTATATAAAGTGACGCCATGCTCCATGAGATTCATTTTGTAAAACTGATGTTTATACATGTATGTAAGCATTTCGTGGGAGAATATACTTGCTATTCTGACATATAAATAACGTATGACTTTTTTAAGGAAGATCGAGATATGTAAATCAAAACTGCGTGTTTTTCAAGGAACTTGATTTGCTTCCTCGCTTGTCTGAACCTGTCTGTTATATGTGAAATTGTTAATCTGCCAGGGCATTGCAGAATACGGCTGTACACCTTTTTTTATTTGTTTAGATGAGAACGAGACAAATGTCAATCAAAACACGGCGTTATTCGTTGGGACTTGATTGGGCCTGCTTGCACGACTGAAACTGCACGAAACTTGATTAACTGCCAGGACATGTGTGAACAACAGACTTTGCAACTATAAAAGGACCTGGACGCCACAGTTCGTTCAGTCGCTCGCCTGTTCAGACTGAGAACAAGAAAATGACCCCCAGAATTCTCCTTGGTTGCTTATTGGTTGTTCTGCTACTTCCAGCTTCAATTGATGCCTGGTGTAAGTACAGTTTTAAAATATGTTAGTAGTCGGTGTCGTTCTGGACAGCTTTTTAATCCCACCTGTTTTTTGCTAGATAACCCTGTGGTTAAAACCAATCATGTACACGCAACAGTATTGTTTACCTGAAGGCACAGCCAGACTGTGGGTGAGACTATGGCAAGTAGGAATGATATATATATTCAACCAATTAACTTTTATTCAACTAATTAATTTTTTATTATTAAAATATGCACTCAATGGCTAGTTGAGAGTCAAATAAGAAAGAGGGCCGGGCATTTTGTGTCCAAAGTATTATTCTGCGTTCTTGAACTTTGCTGATTGTTTTTTTATTTGTGGAATTCAAGTTACAATTTTAGCTTTTCGTGAATTTTTACTTAATTTTACATGGTATACACAGCGATCAAATACAAAAACCACCATTTGAATTTCAAACAGCAGATATTAAGTCATACTGTCATTCACCCTCAGAATTTCTCAGTATCATACCAAGCGCTATTTATAATATTCAACCAAAACAGATAATTTTTTCATTTTGTCGTGTCGTCAAACATGAAGAACTTTTTAAATAAGAGATTGGGTTTTACGGCGATAGTTTTGAAAACGATATATATATCACGGAGAATAAAGTTGATACACTATGGAAAAGTGCTCTACTTATGTAAATTAAGGGACTTATGTAAATTTAAATGGAGAGAACAGACTATCTTTGTTCGGTTTCTTGTCTTTCTATATATATTGTTTTATACTAGAGTGAAAAAAGCCCTTACTGAAAGAGTAATACAAGAAAATTACATAAAAATATAAACATTTACTATATTGATGACATAAGACAATTTAGGATGCATTTGAAGCACGCCGACATGGACAAGAGCCAGTTTCCAATTGCCAAACGTAGGATCAGATAAAACAGTCTTCTCACTTAGGACGTAATTTCAATCCGATATAACTACTCTTTACGGAAATCTGTTTATGCTGGCCCAAAACGTTTTAAGTATGTGTTTTCATCTTACAGGTTTATCGGGAGTAGTGTCCAGCGATTACTGTAAGAGAGGCAGTAGCGAAAGGTGTCAGAGCCAAGTGAAGTATGTGCGTTTTAATCAACGGTTCAGAAAGACTCCTGTCGTAATGACGGCAATATCGGCCTTTGATATTTGGTAAGAGACAACATTGACCCTTTCACCATGACGATAGCACCATTGTTTAATTTTGTTTAGAATTTTGATATACTGCTCATAAAAAACTTGCTTATAGGGAGCAAAAAAGTTTCTTTTCTGTGGGCCTGCATCATTTGGTTTGGAAGAGAAGAGATATCCATATTTTTCAAATGTCAAAAGTGTTACTTTATGTGTTTAAGAGTATTTGTACTTTATAGGTGAATTTATATACGTTTGGAGCTTAAGTATTAAAACTAAATTTCAAATTTAAAGTTAAAAATACTGATTATAAAAGAACAGATTGATGTAAGACTAAAGCACACGTCCCAAAACGCACGCTGGCTGAATAGTTTTATTAACTACATTCTTTAAATAACCAATAAAATTTAATTTCCTTGATGAAGTCTGACAGTCACCAGACGATATGTTAGCTGGTGATTATCAGTTAAGTTTTTGTATAGATATTGCCAAATGAAATTTTATTGATCATAAGTAGGATAACGATTTCAGAATTGTTCTTTAGTCGATTTGAACTTGTTTCCACCAAATTAGCTGAGGAACCTCACCAAACAATCTGGATCCAATCAGATTTAAAATTACTACATTTGTCATAGAATGTTCATAAGGTACCTCGACCAAAGCAATTTCCAGGGGATCTATAACCCGGCTTGCAATATATTATTTCAGAACTTTACTTAACACTGATGGTAAAGGTATTGGTCTTAAAATTGGTCATATTCTCTTAGGCAGATTTTGGAAGGGGGTTCCTTCTGTAGATTTCCTCATTATTGGCACGCAACCCTCCCCTTAAGAGTATAGACTATGCAAAGAATAATGATTTTTCTAAAAAAACATTACACATAGTATGTTTTTTGATAAAAAGCTAAGCAAAACCCGAGAGTTTTGCTTTCAGTAAGTTTTTTCCTTTTTTTGCTGTTGAGTAAATATGTAATCGTGCTTTGATTGTGCATTGCATGGACTACGACTAAGTGGCAATAGTCTTTAGTGTCATTTCCTTTCTTATTGCTTTCAGGAGAAGGGCAAATAGTAGGCTGACAGTATACCCTTCGAGCATCAGCACTCATGGCTTCAATATGAATATGAAAACCTGGGGCAACACTCATCTGTACAGAGTCTCCGTCTCCTGGATTGCATGCCTCTAAACTGTTTTGAATATACATGTATGCTTATATTGAAAGCACTGAGCATTTTCGATTATATACCTAAATAAAATCATGCAACAATTTGTGTCAAATAGAGTAATTCAAAAATGTCTTTAAAGGTATGAAAAGGGGGAGGGGTTGTCATACATATGTTATTGAAATTCATGATTTTTGAAACCTTGATGGGACGTTAAAATACTTTGTTGAAGTGAAGACGTAGATCAAATAGTTCAAAACACACATTTTTGTTTTCTTCTTTTTGATGAATACTATATAAACTTCCGGCTATTGCCTGACGGGATAAATGTTGAGTATTTAGAAAGTACTAAAATAACGGACGATCTACACGCATATAGTCTAATAATTGAGTGCTTTATTGCAATGGAAAATATGAACGCTATTCTTTCGTTTTTGTTAACATTGTGACAGATTTTATCAATGCTTCAGTTGAACCAGCGCTTTTGAATTCTTAAATCCGAATTTGGCTCATTGCTGACGTTGACATTCGCAAGGCGAATTAAAAATAAAATATCATATATATATGCAATCAAAGTAAAACTGCCTCCTGAAAATATATGCCACTAAACTGTCCATTACAACTTTCACTTTTTCAATTATCGGGGTCTTTACACTTAAGCGGTATCTAAAATTAGGGCATCAAATATATATATTACTTTTATTTATTTATTTTTCCTACTTGAACTTACCAGCCGCATTGCAGACCGTAGTTTACTCTCTGTGTTAGTATTAATAAAGGAATAAGGGAATAATACAGTCGTATTTGGGTTTTCAAACACCCTGAGATTCAGGGTAAAATAGAGGCTCGACATCTTTCGTATTAACATGGTTGAGCTGCTTTCATTAACATATACACCAGGGGATTCAGGGTAAAAGAGAGGCGCGACATCTTTGGTATTAACATGGTTGAGCTGCTTTCATTAACATATACACCAGGGGATTCAGGGTAAAAGAGAGGCGCGACATCTTTGGTATTAACATGGTTGAGCTGCTTTCATTAATATATACACCAGGGGATTCAGGGTAAAATAGAGACTCGACATCTTTCGTATGAACATGGTTGAGCTGCTTTCATTAACATATACGCCAGGAGCATTGTGGTATGTAAAGATGTTTACTGGATCAGTTTGGAGCTCAGTGGTGTCATGGGGGTATAAAGACAATCAAAATTAAAAACTCGAAAGCGTAGAGAATAGTAAATCAGCCAACTGGGACTATATAAAAATGGGGTTTTGTTATTACTGTTGTTTTCTTGTTTTCTTTCGACGTTTTTAAATAACGTCACGAGTAAAGGTAAATTATATAATTTCCACGATTGACCCCCCCAAAAAGAAAAGTATGGCTACTGCTACTACTAGAGCTAATAACAACCAAAAAAGGTAATTAACTCACAGGACGGTTAAAAATGAGGAGTAGGAATAAAGACAATTTGTACTAGTGTAGCTTAATATAACACTGCTTGTACGGAATGCTTGCACAGAATGGTGAGTTGTTATAAGATCAAAATGCCAATGTTCTGATAAGCTGTTAGTTTGCCTTTATTTTCCTTGGTAGGTACATCAGTCTGGGCATTACCCTATAAAACTGGGCGGACCGTTTTGTTTGGCGCAGTTATCTCTCTGGCAATGTCTCTTATTTTTGCGCCATTCTGCCACAGATTAACAAATTTGTAAAGCACCGCATAGCTCATTTTACAAACGGCAAAAACGACCGCTTGTATGCAAAATCTCAAATTCTTCTATGCAGTAGTTGCCGACATATAGATACTTTTTTTGACAGAGCCATGCTTTGCCAAAGCCAAGCTTTGACCTGCCTAGAGAAGCACTACCCAATTAAATCACTGCGTATTACATAGTGCAGCAGCACAACAGACCTGGTAATCAGACTACACACTTCTCTATTCACATATCTTATATGAGATCTGAGTTTATTTGAAAAAAGAACACATTTTAACTAGGCATACATTCGAAACTGAAATATTCCATATTAAATGTCAAGTCTGTATGCATTATTTTAAAGAGGGTTCTCACTTTCTTGAACGTCGCGAATGCAATCATAATGCTACGAAATACTCCATCTAGATGGATTACATGCACATTTGCAATTACTACCCAATGAACTTTAAATTCCCATTCACTGAAGGATAATTTATGAATTTTCTTCACAAAAGTAAGTCAAAAAGTAACCCAAAAAGACAGCTCTTATTTTAAGCATAAAGACAAATTGCTCATTTATCACAGTATGGCTTTCTGTTAATACAAAAGGTATACCTTTACCAAACAATAGGGTTGAATGATGAATTGCGTTGTATAAATATAATATTTTCAAAAGACATCTAATGCAATTAAGCGCAGAAAATAATCCTGATGATAAAGATCGAAGAACTACATCTTTAAGTTTTTGTGTGAACAGCACTTGTTTTTTCTAATTTAAATTAAAAGGTATTTTTGCTCTAGAATGTGTCATATTTTATACTATCTTCCAGTCAAAGAATATTATAGAAATGAAATTTTAGTGCTTTGAGATGCACAAGCTATTAAGTGCGCCGTAAAAGAACATTTATTATTTTTATTGTTCTTGTTGTTATTATTATTATTATTATTTATTGTTGCTATTAAAAGAAGCCGTTACACATGTGGCATCTACCCCTTTATACCATTAAATTATTTCCAAATAAATATATTTGACACAGATTTCTGCGGTGCATGTATTTATTAGGTATATGATCAAAATCCAAAACAATGAAGTTGGCCATATGACTGCTGTACGCTCAATGTTTTCAATTTAAGCATGTATATGTATTCCAAATAGTTTAGAGACATGCCATCCAGGAGACGGTGATAGAGTACATATGGGTGCTGCCCCAGCTTTTGATGTTCACATTGAAGCCGTGAGGGCTGAGGTCGGAGGCGTATGTAGTCACGCTACTATTTTCGCCATTCCTGAAAGTGATAAGATTAAAAAAGGCAATAAAGACAATCCCATGCTACATGTATATGCAGCCAAAGCACAATTCCATCTTTACTCAACAGAAAGAAAGGAATAAAAACTTTCTCACAACAAAGATTTCCGCTTCTGCTTATCTTTCTTTGTTTTGTCAAACTGCATACAATGTGTTTTGACTTCGTACAAAAACGTAAGCCCATTGCAAAGTCGACGCTCTAAAAGAGAGGGCTCCGTGCCTAAAATTGCAGAGGTAGGCCACCTTCAAAAAAAAAAAAAAAAAGTCTGCCTAAGAGAATAGAAGCAGATCTTAGATCAATTCCTCTAACACTAGTGTAAAGTAAAGTTCTGAAATAAATAAGTGCAAACTGGGTAATAGGTCGCCTGAAAACTGAGAAGGCCCAGTTTGGTGGAACATGTGAAAAACGACCAAAGAGAAGTTTGGCGTAGTCAAACGACATTTTAAGGCGACAACAATCTCCAGAGCTTATTGATGCGCATTCCGCACATGCTCAATTCTCCCGTAGAGGGGGAGCCTCAAATGAGATTCATTGCTAATTATATCAAGGGAGCATCACTGCCTGATCCCATTATGCGCTTGATCATTCCATTAGCGCGCACGATACGATTAAGCATGAAGTTATCTTCGGCCTTCAACCTGAATGTTCAATTCCGCAAATTTCATCAACCCCACAAACGAAATTTGTGCAAATTTGTTAGTAAATAAAAACTTTTGCTGACTCATTGCATCATAATTTTTAGTATGATGAGTCGTATCGAATGTTTGATATATAACTATTATCCCTTAGGCCATAACATTAATAACGTTCAACAATTTGTTACATTGTTAGTATAATGGGGTTATATAATAAATGCGGCCTTGTCTGGTCATATAGCGAACAACCAATATTCTTTGTTCCCTTCTTTCTTGTTGTGAATGGAATTATAAAAGTTTGTGGTGCAGTAGGAGGGAGAGGAGACATAAAGAATAATTCCACCCAAATAACAACACCCATACTAAAATTCATAACCACCCAATATCTAAAGGAAGAGATAATAATAATAATAAAAAATAAAGTTAAATTTTTTGGAAGAATTGCAGAAAGGAGAAAACAATAAGCTCAGAACATATGACAAAATTAAACAAACTTGTGAGGCTGAACCTTACCTAAAACTCAATGTTCCTTTAGCTAAAAAAAAAGTGGCAAAAATGAGGATCAGCGATCATGAATTAGAAATTGGACGAGGGCGATATACAAAAACAAAGACAAAAGGAAATGCCCCCGCTGCGACTCAGTAGAAGATGAAGCACACTAGAATGCAGTGAACACAGAGCTGAACGGGAAACACCGTTCGCCTCCATACCAGAAGTGAATTTGACCCTATGACCGATCCACAGTTAGTACGATATGTCTGGGAATGGCCCCTATGGCCCTCTTCTTTCCAAACTAAATGACGCAGTCTCAGTTAATATCCCAGAAAAGAAATTATATTGATCCATCAAAGCAGGTTTTTTTATGCGCAGTTTATTCTACACAAAATTAAACAATGGTGATATTAAAAAAGGGTCAATGTTGTGTCTTACCAAATATCAAATTTCGATATTGTCACCATAACGTTTGGAGTCCTTATGAACGGTTCATCAAAACGCACATACTTCACTTGGCTCTGACACCTTTGGCTACTGCCTCTCTTACAGTAATCGCTGGACATTACTCCCGATACACCTGTAACATGAAAACACACATATTTGTGTATCCTCCATAATTTAAACGTTCTGGGTCTGCATGAACAGATTTCTATAAGTGTTGTTATATCATAATTGAATTATGTCCTGACTAAGAAGTTTGTTTTATCATTCAGATAGTAAGCTTGGTAAATTGAAACTGGTTCTTGTACGTCTCTACTCCCTTCAAATGCATCTTAAATTGTCTTATTCTATCTATCTAGTAAATGTTTATATTAAACGAGGTAATTTTCTTGCAATACCCTTTCAGTTTTTTTTCAGTCTAATATTAAACAGTTCCCATTCTGGTTATCAGCGAAAAATGCTAAGAATTGATAAATCGTTTTCAAAAACATCC